AAAAAAAATTAAAAAAAAAAATGTGGAAGATGTCATCTGAACCTATAGACTTCCAGTGTTCTCTTGAGAAATCAGAAGCTAGGAGACACTGGGCCCACATTTTCACTCTGCAGATATGGGTAGGGCGGAATGGGGCTGCTTCCTAGACACAGTCTCCTTTGCCACAGTCCCCACTACTCCCTATCACCTCTGCCCATATCATGCACCGCTCATGTTGGCATTCGCCCCTGTTTCCCTTACAACAGAGAAGTGTTTCTCTGGCCTCATAGTTAATTTTCACTTTCAAACAGTGAAAGTCAAAGCAGGAGGTGTGGGTGGGGAGGGACCCTTTATTTAGCTTTCTGGATCCATCCCATTTGTGTTTTACGCCAAACTCCTGGAGGTGGAGCCTTGCCCCCGGGGTTCCCCTCTGCTGCAACACCGGGTCTCCTGCTCTCCTTGCTCCTCTCCGCTCACTTCTCCTTCTCCCGCGGCAGAATGGGAGCTTCTGAAGGTGTCCGGTGCATCCTCAGGTGCCCAGTACAGGCCTTGCACAAAGTTCTGGCTGAGAAATGCTTTGAAAAAGTCATTTCCATTCCAGCACTCGTGGGTGGCAGGTGTTAACAGGGTCCCACAGGAAGTGATGTCTCGGCTGAGCCTTGCGGTGTGGGCACAGTTTCTAGAAGCCGACACAGAAGGGCAAGGACAAGTCAGGCAGAGGGAGAACCAATTGGTTCCCCCACTCATCAGGCACTCCTGGGCATTAATCTCCTTCGGTTTCAGAAGAAAACACACCACAAGTCTGTGAGATAGCTGATGCCACTATACACACCCCCATTTGACAGATGAGCACATTGAAATGGGGAGAATTTTTTTCAAGTTTGTTTATTTGGGGGGGGTGCAGAGGAGGGGGAGAGGGAGGGAGAGAATCCCAAGTAGGCTCCGCACTGTCGGTGCAGAGCCCGACTTGGGGTTCGAACCCACGAACTGGGAGATCGTGCCCTGAGCCGAAATCAAGAGTCGGACTCTTAACTGACTGAGTCACCCAGGCGCCCCAAAATGTGGGGAATCTTAAGTGACCTGCCTAAGGTCACAACGCTAATGTGTGGCAGAGCCGAAATTCACCCCACACCGTCACACCCGTGCCTTGCCCTGCTAGCAGCAGTGACTATCTTATTAGTGCCATGCATTCTTTTCCTACCTTTGCGACTCTTCTCTCCTCCAGCAACACCCTAGCATTCACCCAGCCTTCACCTACTCTTTATCCTTTAAACCCTCCCCACCTTTTTTTTTTTCCCTTCTAGCATTTTTATTTGACACCTGTGGTGGGCAGAAAGATGTCCACGCCCTCACCCCCAGATGGTGTGAATACATTGGTTGAAGGGGCCACGGGGCCAAGCAATGCAGGCAGCCTAAGATACTTGAGAAGGCAAGGAGACTGATTCTCCCCCAGAGCCTCCAGAAGGAGCACGGCCCTGAGACACCTTGATTCTATTCCACTGAGACCCATTTCAGACTTCTGAGCTGCAGGACTGTAAGATAATAAGTTTGCGTTGTCTTAAACCACCCAATTTGTGGTAATTTGCTGCAGCAGCCATAAGAAACTAACACCGTGTCTAAAGAGTTCTTTTTAATGTGGTCAGGGGAGGGGCACAGAGAGGGAGACACACAATCTGAAGCAGGCTCTAGGCTGTGAGCTGTCAGCACAGAGCCTGACATGGGGCTCGAACTCACACCATGAGATCATCACCTGAGCCAAAATCAAGAATTGGATGCCCAACCCACTGAGCCACCCAGGTGCTCCTATTTTAACTCAATTTTTAAATAGCAATAAAAGAGGGTGCTGAAGAGGTGGGGAACCTTGCCTCTTTGGGGTTCAGTGCTATTCAGGTATGTCTAAGGCCACCTCCCGGACTGTCCTGAAGGAGGGAAAGTGTAGGGAATGTGGTGACCTGCCTCCACCCATGTGACCAGAGTGGATCTTGAGGTGCGTGCAGCTGATGGGATGGACTGGGGAGAGGGGTTAGGGAACAGAATTGGTGGGGTCAGTGGTGGAGTGGACTGGACGGGCCTAGAGCAGAGCAGGGGAAGCATTCTGTAAGACAAGAGCAGGTGGGCTTAGCGGTCCTTCGGATGTGCGGGTGAGGAGGCAAGTGGACAGTGATGCTTGTGGACGGTGGCGGGGAAGATTCATGGTGGAGCCCTGGTCAAGAGCAGGGGACCCAGGAGGCAGGATGTGCAGGAGGTGGGGGAGAAGAGGGCACAGGTGTCTGGGGAAATGCATTTGGATTTGGGTTTCGAGGGTCTGGGAGTCACCCCTGTCCATAAGGAAGACCTACGTGATGATTAGTGACGTTGAAGCGCAGGACATAGTCTGCGTATCCGCAAGCATATGTTGGTTTCTGTTATGAAAACATTTCACATCTACTCACGGGTACGAGGATGGGTCTGAGAGCCACCATCTTCCACCTTCCAGGTTGGGAAATCATCATTTGTTTGTTCTGACCCCCTGTTGTCTACTTCTTTTGACTTCA